AGTAGGTGGTGCGGGTTGAGGCGGGGAGCAAAGCAGTGGTGCACTGGACGATTTCCTCTGCGTAGGGCCAGCTGACTCTCCCACGTGCCTTCACCTGCTGCGTACCATTGAATGGGTGGCGGGCCAATTTAGAGTACCACTAGCGGCAGATAAGACAGAGGGCCCGACGGAATGCCTTAGTTTTCTGGGTCTAGAAATAGATTCGGTGCTCGGTGAGTGTCGGCTGCCTCTAGCGAAGCTGGTGGGGCTGCGAGGAGTGGTGGCCACGGTTGTCCAGGCACGCAAAGTAACCCTTCCGCAATTGAAATCGCTGATCGGGCAGCTCAATTCTGCAGGGTGATTCCAATGGGCCGGGTTTTCAGCCGCAGCCTGTCTGCAGCTACGGCAGGTGTGCGATCCCTGCACCATTTCATCCGGGTGTCGTCATCCATGCAGGCTGACTTAGAAGTATGGGATGCCTTCTTGCAGGATTTCAACAGGACAGTGTTCTTCCGGCAGGCGACGTGTCGGCCGCCGAGCTTGAGCTATTTATGATGCGTCGGGTAGCATGGGTTTTGTGGCCTACTTCAGTGGGAGCTGGTGTGCGGAAAGGTGGCCGGAGGCGTGGGGATGGAGCCCCCTCATTCGTAAGCTGGCTTTTCTGGTATTGTTCCCGTTGGTGGTTGCGTTGGCCCTGTGGGGCGCTAGACTGCGCAAGAAGTTGGTCTTCTTTTCGGACAACATGTGGTGCAGGCAGTCAATAACCAGTCGGCTTCATCGAAGCCAGTGGTGAGACTGTTGCGGTGCTTTGTTTTACTATACATGTCCCTTAATGTAGTCTTTCGTGCGCGCCATGTGCCCGGGTACTTGAACGTAGTGGCTAACCCTTTGTCTCATTTTCAATGGCCCAGATTTCGGACGGTGGCTCCAGAGGCGCAGGACGTGGGGCTGGCCTGCCCGGATGAGATGTAGCAGCTGGGAGCATCCTGCTTGGGGGGCTCGTGAGGGCTTCTCTGGCGCCGACCACATGGGCCGCCTACAGTAAGGTCTGGAGTTCATGGGAACTTTCATGGGAGGGGTTGGACAGAGTGTTGGTAGTGGAATCGCTTCTTGACGCTTTTCTGTAGTCCACCTTTTGTTTATTAGCAGGGGGCGCCTCTGGTTGATAGGACCATGGCGGCAATGGCTTTTTGGTTCAAGCTGCATGGGAATGAGGATCTTACCAAGTCCTTCGTCATCAGGCAAGCACTTAAAGGCTATCAGAAGTGTCGTAGGATTCCCGATGCTAGGCGTCCGGTGTCGGTACGGGTGCTGGGGGATCTGATTCGAGTGTTGGCTGAGGTTCTGTTTTCATCTGATCGTTATATGTAATTATACTTGTTTTTCTGAATGCTGGAATTCCAGCGCCATTTTCAATGCATTCCACCAACGTCAAATGACTTCCACCATCACATGATCGCATAATTTCGACTTCTTGAGTTCCAGTGCCACAGTGTACAGGAACTAATTCTATTTGCTCAAGAAAAATTGATATTAACCAACTATTCATCTAAAGTATATAATATAAGAAAAGGGGGGTAGTACAACTAATATATAGACACTTTAAATAGACATATATCATCACAAATATCAGAAGGAACATTATATCAGTTTTGTTACCAAGAGTCCTCAATTACACTAACTTGGGAGAAAAAAATAAAAAAAACATTTTTGAAAACAAAGCAAAATAAGGTGAAAAATGAATATGAAAGGTTGAAAAAATACAAATTGGAAATATATAAAAATAAAATTAAACAAAAAATAGAAAAGGGTTTTCTAAATGAAAAAATTGCTGAACAAAATAATAAATTAAAAATAATAAAAAACAGAAAAATATAAAACATTAAAACATTTATTATAGAAATAAAAATAAAAATAAAAAGCATAAAATATATATTGTAAAAAATGAAATATAAAATAAAATATAGAAAAAATAAATTAAATTTTTTTGATAATAAATAAAAAATGATAATAGTACTATACTCCCAAAGTGAATTGTAAGTATCTCTTGAAATAACAAGTTACACATATCTAATAATAGCGTAAAGATTTGTATGAAGATTATATGCAACGGTTCTGTCAAAAAGCACATCTACACTATTCATAAGAAACACACCAAATCCACATCAATATTTAAACCCCTCAGCTCCAGTGTGCCCAGTATACACTTAAACTCTTTCCAACTGAAGAGCTGGCATTGGCTACAAGGCACTGGAAACAAGTGGGTTGTTATCCCCTTTCTGATGTTATTGATGTGTTCCATAAGCCAGATTTTTAATGCTCTTTCAGTTCTTCCTACGTATTATTTGCCACACGGACACTGCAATAAATATACCACAAAGTCTGTGCGGCAATCAATACCAGATTTTATCTGGAATCTCTCTCCTGTGATTGTAATCTCAAATTCTGCTGATGTTGTTATTTTCACTGTTCTGCAGGCTTTGCAACTGCAGCAGCCTCTAAACCCTTTTTTTTTATTGTTTATATTTTTATTTAAGATCTTTTTTCCTCCTTTAAAATAGCTTGGAGCCAACAAGCCTTTTAGAGTTTGCATTCTTTTGTACACCACTGGAGGTCTATTAGGCAATGATTTTCCTAAGACTGGATCTTAAAGTAAGATCACCCAAAATTTGTTTAGGCTTTTTTAAAATTGTTTGTGATTAGTGTTATACCTCGTAACAAAGGAAATTTTTTTTTTTCCATTTAAAGATTTTAATTGGTTTTCATCTTGGCAATGCCGTAAACACAAACATGACATGGGGGAGGGGAGGGGGTACAGAACGAAAGCGGGGGGGGAGAGGGGGTCCATACTGTGGAAGTAGACAAAAATATTACCAGGTTCAATAAAAAGCGTTTAATTGACCATTACAATACAGAGATATCTCATGGAGATTGGCAAGAAGCAATCTAACATCATGTTACAATTCCTCATATTTTATACATATGACCCGGAACTGGCCTTTCGTTTAGCTTGAATCAGAACTCCAAATATGGTCTTATTTCCTATTGGCTAAATTCTAGCATAACTGACAAATTTAAGGTTCAAAAGTTTAAGCATCCCATGATCTTTCTAACAGATGACTTGACCACAGTCATGCATCTTACTTCCCTAAAATATCGCTTGTCTATGATAAAAGTTAACACATATAAGACTTCCTCTTTCACAACTTAAGCACACATTTCACCTTTCCCCCCTGGCAACATCTGACAAGACACGCTTTCAAAATAACCTTTCCTTTTGCAATCCAAAAAACAGTCCAGACATCCATTAATAAATTGTAGCAATAAAACATAGTTTCTTCTTATTTCTTAGAGTAAATATTCTTCTTTGATTATATTTTAAGATGATGAATAAACAGCAAAATGGCTGACAGCATGTCAGTAGCAGGTTACATATGTTCACAGTACTCCCTTTGGTGCTAGGACTTTCACCACAAAAAGCTCCGTGCAACACTTCCATGTTTAGCGAAGGTCATTCAGTGAGCTAGTGATTTTAAACAGCACTTGCAGGACTTTCCATATAGATGCGCACACGATCAATATCTTCACGAGAAAGTATGTCTGTATTCCAAGTCGGTATGAGTTGTGACCGGATAGGAGACATTTCAACATTCGAAATTGTGCCAGGGGGAGATGAAGGTGAACAGCTCTTGAGGATTAATCGGCACGAACACTTTAGGACATTCACTGCAACATATATAAACACAAGCATCAATACTACTAAAATAACTCCAATGAGAATACGTTTTCCCATTGTTCCCAACCAATTAGTTAAACCAAAACTCCAGTCAAAACCCCAATTTAAACCTCCTGAAGAAGTATCGTGAACTTCTCTAAGTTTAATTTGTACTTCATGCAATTTATCTACATCTGTATGAATCTGACCAGTAACATTATCTATCTTTAAACGACATCTTGTTTTTATTAGTGCACAAACACCACCTTCGGAGGCCAACAAATAATCTAGGGCAAACCTATTTTGCATAATCATAGCTGAAGCTTGTTCCTGTTCTGCAGACAATTTTTCAATAGCATCTCCTGTATTATTAAAGGCTTCATCTAGTATATCTCCTAACAAGTTTAATTTGTACATTAATTCAATAACCCCCCCATGTAGGTACAAAACCTGCAAATAGCCTATCTTCTTCACCAGATTTTACAGTTCTTTCGGTTTTATCTTTTTTGGAACTAATAACCTTTCTTTTATTCCTCACCCTTCCTTCAGGCAAATTTTCATGAAGGGTTAACGCTGGGATAATATTACCTAGATAACAAGTTTCCACCCAATTACATGGAAGTCTTTTTACCGCCCAACTACCACATAAATAGTATACCCCAAATGGAAGATGGATATCAATAACACGAGAATCTGAGCAGTCAAAAATAGGTTGATTAATATAGGGCAGTAGCATAAAAAGATTGGAAGTTAAAGTTTGAGTATTAAAGTAGGCCCATCTCAAAATAGTGACATTTAAATGTTCATTCTGGTCATAATTATTATCCATGATTTCTACCTCAGAAGTCAAATTTACCCATACATGATTAGTAATCACCGGGATTCTATCCTTGATGGGACATTTTGTCAAAATATCTTCTAATAAGGGTTTCCAACAAAAAGCTTTCAATCTACCAGTACAAGGGGCAGAATTAGTTTCAGACCCACATAGATTATAAAGGACATTGTTTTCAAAAATAACAATAGCATTGCTTATAGGCTTAACAATCTTGGCAGGACTTTTCTGATCCCTGTTAGAAATTACTACTGCTCTGCTAGTAATAGGATATGTTAAATGAACCTTAGCAGGTTCCTCAGATTTGGATACTTCATTCTGAATAAATCCAACAAACCCCGTTTTATTTGCTCTTACTCTCTCATAAAGAGATTCCATAGACCATGGCACCCCCACAAAAGGATAACCATAGTTCATGGAATGCGGAGCAAACCCACAAACCCAACAATGATTACTTTTGTTTGACAATTTATACAATTCAGTAGCTGTTTTAACGAAATGATTATCTATCTCCCAAGAAGAAAAATACTTGGCTCCCTGGCCCAAGCTACACGTGTATTAAAGAAAAAAAAGAGGAGCTAACGTAGTGTAGAGGATGAAAAATTAAAAAAATGTCATAATGACAATCATTAAGGACAATATAAGTTTAACCAGTTTGAGATTCATGAAGAAAAACAGTAGAGTTGACTTTGGATTAGAAAGATACTCCCCTTAAAAGTACCCCTTTTTAGAAGGGAAAACGGCTTCCTTAGTCCTCTATTCTTCTTCCAGTGAAAAAATCTTTTCCAGCGCTTGTCAGTTTACAATGGGAAATGTGGATCCAAGATTTAACCCCTGCGACTTTAACAGCTGAATTAGTGGTTAATAACACTTGAGAAGGTTCTTTCCACCTTGGTTGCAACGCGTGCTTTCGTGAATGGTCTTTTATCATAACATAATCTCCAGGAGCGATGGCATGCAAAGGTTGGTATTCACTTGTTCGCTGTACAGCTTTTACCTGCATATAGAGAGACTAATCGTTTTGTTAGCTACATGCATTACGTTATTACTAAATCATCATTTATCTCATGAGAATAACATTTTATAGGTACCCGTCCTGTGAACATTGGTCTTCCCATTAGAATTTCATGAGGGGATAACCCTGCTTTCAAACTAGAGAGAATCTCATAGACATTAAGGCAAGAGGAAGTGCATTAAGCCACTTTAACTTTCTCTGCTGCAATTTTTGCAATTTTGTTTTTCAATGTTCCATTGGCCCTTTCTACTGCTCCTTCTGACTGAGGATGATGAGAGCAATGTGAATGGTAAGGGATTTGCTAAATTTTTGCTATCTGTTGCACTACTTTTCCTGTGAAATGTGTTCCCTGATCTGAGTAAATGTGCCGAGGCAATCCATACCTGGGTATAAATTCTTGTAACAATTTCTTAGACACTGTAGACAATATCCGCATGGCAACAAGGTTAAGCCTCAACCAAACCTGAGAATGTATCTAATATTACTAGCACATACCGGTACTGCATTACCTTTGGTAATTCAATGAAATCCATTTGTAAATTTACAAATGGACCTCATGAACAGGGAGGATGATTTAGGTCTCTGACCTGCATTGTATTGTAAACAAATAACACATGAAGAACACACCAGTGCCAATACAGATTCTAGGCCCAGCCTTGACCATTCAGAATTAAACAATGATGGCAATGCTGGTCTTCCACTAAATATACACTCTCCCCACCAAAATCACTTACTTCTTCTTCCCTCAGTATCACATACAATTCATTTACTTTCAAATGTACCATAGGTTCTGGACCTTGGGTCACTGGTACACTAACAATAAATATTCAGACCCCAATCTTCCTCTACATCTAGTCTGTCTTTTTCTTCTAATTGCTTTCTTGCCCCCTTTACCTCCTTGCAATCTGTTGCTATATGACCATATCCATCACAATTGAAACATTTGATAAATGTTCTTACATTATTCTGTGGGGGTCTGGCTATGTTTTGTCTTGGCTGATGTGCATAATATCTAACAGGAGTTTGTTCAGCTTGTAGCATTATGTGCTCAGCTTTTGCATTTTCCTTGATTTGAATAGCTTGTCAAATTTCTGATGCTGCACTTAATACAATATTAAGTGATTTATCCCGTCATCCCAGTAAGGATAACATCAATTGTTTTTTTTTACTTTAGCATCCAAACCATTTACTAAGGTATTCACTATGAACGGCTTAATTGATTAATTTGTGATATCTTCAAAACTTCCAAAAACCTTAATTGCTTCCGCATATTCATAGGGGTTTTCTCCTTTCTTTTGCACTATGCTATGTATAGTCAATAGGCTGGGTAAAAACTGTTTTTACTTTAATGCTGAGGAATGCATGCCAATTCTTAAGGACAACATCACTCCTCTCATCAGGGCAATTTTCCCATATATGTGCAACTGCTTGTCCCCCCACCCCTGCAGGCCATGAGAAAGGTGACTCATTATATCCTGCCACCCATTTAGTATGTTCTGCAGGGGTTAATACTGTCTCCATTAACTCATTAAGATCTTATGTTGTGGGGAAATAGCTGGCACACATTATTTTTAAATGTTTTACAAACCCATTTGGATCTAGAGGGGGCAGGAAATGATACCTGTAAAAATGCTATGTCTTGTGGGCTCCACGGTTGACAAATCCTCCGTGGTCTCCCATCATTATTCATCTGTCCCACTTCTCTAATGGGTAAAATCATAGCCTCACTCCCATCACTCTCAGGCAACACATTGCTACATCCTGATAAACCTGTAGTTACCACAGCATGATCAGCAAATCTTTTAGGCAGTCTAATATCCCTCTCAGGTCTACCACCTCGATGCAACATGGCTGAGGCACCAGCTAAATTTTGGGGTACAAGCTGTGGTGCATCATTCATCTGCTGAGGGGAGGTGACCCAAAGAGGGATTCATAATCTCATGATTAATCAAAAAATCCTCATCATCATTATAAGGCGGAGGATTTTTAACATTTCTTTTTAAATTGTACAGTGAGGGATACAAACAGGCAACACCAGTACCCTCTCCTTTACATGCCCCTCCTGTTGCACCTGACTGGGGGGAACATTCTTGCTTTTTCTTTTCAATTTCCTCATGCCATAACATATATGCAGACCATTCCAGTTTTGAAAGACTTTTTCCATTTAACAACATTGTTCTTAAACTTAACAACACCCAAGGGTCTAATAACCCCACCACTGGCCATGGATTTATATTATTCTTAGTTAACTTTGCCCATTTCTTTGAATACATAATATTTGAAGGGCCATATTTCTGTTTCATTAAATAAACTGGGGAATCACTGGGTATACTATCCCCATGATCAAGCTGCTTGCCATGATTCAACCTCATTTCTGTTACTTGTACTTTTAAACACCAAATGTATACACTCACTGTATCACCTTTTGAGAGATCGAAAGGTCACAATTTTCAGTCTGTATACTGACTGACAACTGGAGTTTACACAAAAATCTCTTCTCAAATGATGTCACAGTTTATCAAAATTTAAACCATATACACACAGTTATACAATTTTAACACAATACATCTTACTCAAGTGCTATGTTTAACCTATGAGTTTAAACAGTTAATACAAGACAACTTAACTTCACCTTGCTACGTTTAGACTGGGTGAAATTAAGACAATAAAACAAAATAATCTAATCTCGCTTTGCTACGTTTAGACTTGGGAGATTAGATTCATGTGGCTAGCCAATTAATACAAGACAACTTAACTTCACCTTGCTACGTTTAGACTGGGTGAAATTAAGACACTAAGACAAAATAATCTAATCTCGCTTTGCTACGTTTAGACTTGGGAGATTAGATTCATGTGGCTAACCTCAACATTTAGCCACAAGCACATGACAGGGATACATCATATCAAAGAGACTCTCACCAACAGAGCTACGTTTAGACTTCTGAAGGCCCACCAAACCCCTATTGGGTCTGCGAAGTTTAGTCACTTAAGTCTTCCTAGGGGACTACCTGTCAGTGCTACCACTGATTCTAGAATCACTCAGACATAGACACTAATACTGCAGTATATTTTACAACATAGACATAAATAGTAACGTTACAAATGGTCAATAAAAGGCTAAGAAATCAGGTCACACAGACTAGCATTTACCTGCACCGTTCTTTGTTTCATGGACACTCAAAAATTACACTAATGCCATGTTTTATAAATGGTATGGCTTACCTTTTATATGACCGGTCTGTTTGAGTGCCCACGAAATGGTTGGCAGGTGCAGGTGTTCCGCTGGTGTCTGTGGTATTCTGATCCCGGACAAAGAGCCCCCAACTGTGGAAGTAGACAAAAATATTACCAGGTTCAATAAAAAGCGTTTAATTGACCATTACAATACAGAGATATCTCATGGAGATTGGCAAGAAGCAATCTAACATCATGTTACAATTCCTCATATTTTATACATATGACCCGGAACTGGCCTTTCGTTTAGCTTGAATCAGAACTCCAAATATGGTCTTATTTCCTATTGGCTAAATTCTAGCATAACTGACAAATTTAAGGTTCAAAAGTTTAAGCATCCCATGATCTTTCTAACAGATGACTTGACCACAGTCATGCATCTTACTTCCCTAAAATATCGCTTGTCTATGATAAAAGTTAACACATATAAGACTTCCTCTTTCACAACTTAAGCACACATTTCACCTTTCCCCCCCTGGCAACATCTGACAAGACACGCTTTCAAAATAACCTTTCCTTTTGCAATCCAAAAAACAGTCCAGACATCCATTAATAAATTGTAGCAATAAAACATAGTTTCTTCTTATTTCTTAGAGTAAATATTCTTCTTTGATTATATTTTAAGATGATGAATAAACAGCAAAATGGCTGACAGCATGTCAGTAGCAGGTTACATATGTTCACAATACCAAGTTTTTTACATCAATGTTCACATTCACAATTTTTGAGATCTCCGGGTGTGTCATTTTCCTACATACATTTTCTAAGTTCTAAGTTCGTACGTCTGACCACTCCTACATTTGTCCCTAACATGGTGTATTGTTGCTCGTTTGTCTATCGTTATCTGGTGATCGACCCTGGGAGTCGAGTACGTCTAGTAGCTTAGCCGTCGGGTGTGTCTCCTGTTCCCGTCCCTTCCCACAGCCTCCATGCTTCAACTGCTGTGTCTGTCAAGGGAAGGACCCCTCGGTAGCAGGTTTCATATAGGTGTTGTGTATCAATGTCCCTGCAGACCTCTGCCACCAGTGGTGGTCGTTGAGATTTCCACAACCTAGCTATTGCCCTCTGAGCTGTCAAGAGGATGTGGAAGGCTAATTTCTGTATCCCTTTAGGTATATTGCTTGGCATGTGTAGTAGGAGACTTGTTATGGGTGTGGAGGGGAGCTTGGTGCCTGTTGCGGCTCGAATCAGGCAGTGTATGTTGCGCCAGAAGCTGGTGACTAGTTCACATTGCCACCATATATGAAGTACTGTACCCTCTCCCTTTCCACACCTCCAGCACTCCGGGGATGAACCTGGGTATAGCTTGTGTAAGCGAATGGGGACCATGTACCACCTATATAGGGTCTTCCTATATTGCTCCAATAGCACCTCCGACTTAATTAGTTTTTTGGTCGTCACTATAGCCCGCTCCCACTGATCTTTACTTATGTGGCATTGTAGGTCTTGTGCCCAGTGCTTGGCTGGATTGGAATCTGCAAAGTGTTGTGTGGGTCGGATGAGTTGATAACACCAGGATAGTGGCTTAAATGTCGGTGCCCATGAACCTCTAGTGGTTGTTTGTTCCCATTTCGTCATACCGAGGGGGTTGTCATCTGGGGCGGAGGACTTCTCTGTGTGTTTACGTATGAATGAGCTTAACTGTATATGAGAGAATTGGGAGGCCTCTGGTATGTGGAATTCCTTTTGGAGAGTTGGGAAGGTTTTTAGTTTGTTATGCGCAAGTATTTGGTGCAGATGTGTGACCCCTTTAGCTATCCATGGTTTGGCGTTGAAGGTTGGGATGCAGTATGTGATAGTGTTGAGCGGGGTGGCTGGTGATAGAGGGGTTACCAGTTTATGTCTAAGCTTGTCCCAAGCCCTGACTGCTATTTTTAGCTGCGATGGCATCTGTGGAGTTTCTGGTCGAAATTTTTTAGGAAGCCACATTATGGTGGGTACATCAAAGGGTTTTATGGCCTGTTTTTCCATTAGCACCCATTGCGGTAAAGCCGTGTTTGTGAAGTGGGGAAGGGTTGTTGCTAATAGCGCTGCTTGGTAGTATGTCTTGATGTCTGGTAAGGCAAGTCCACCCTGTCTCACCGGTGTTTGTAGCAGTATTCTCTGCACTCGAGCTTTTTGGCCCCCCCACACAAATCTATTAACGTCTTTTTGTGTGTCTCTAAGGTAGGACATAGGTACCTGAATTGGTAAGTTTCGAAACAGGTATTGAAGCCTCGGGAGTATGGACATCTTAACGGTTGCTACTCTCTCTGTCCATGTCAGAAACAGGGTGCTCCATTTTTTCATTAGTTGGCGGCAGTCTCCCCACACTCTGACATAGTTAGCAGGGAAGGTTTCTGTAGGGTTTTTTGTGAAGGTCAGTCCTAAGTATTTTATCGTGTCTGCCCTCCATTCAAAATTGTGGTCTTTTTTAAGTGCGGTGAGTGTTTGTTGGTTGAGCCGCACTCCCAGTGCTTGTGTCTTGCTGGCATTAAGGGAATAGTAGGACAACGTCCCGTATTCTTTTATGAGGTCTAAGATAAGTGGGAGCGATTGCTCTGGTTTAGAAACACAGAGAAGTATGTCATCCGCAAATGCGCTAATTTTAACTTCCCTGCCATGTACCTCAATTCCGCGGATACCCTCTCGCTGCCTAATTTGGACCAGTAGTGGTTCCAGGGCTAGGACGTATAGTAGCGGCGACAGGGGGCATCCCTGCCTCGTACCATTCGTTAGAGGGAATGGGTCGGAGAGAAAGCCGGCTTGCAGTACCCGGGCGGTGGGACCTGCGTATAAAGCAAAGATCTGTTTGATAAATAGTGCGGGGATGTCATACTTTAGGAGCGTATGTTCGAGAAATGCCCAATTCAGCCTGTCAAATGCCTTTTCGGCGTCAAGGGCTAGTAGAAGATCGTGACCCGATCCCCTCATCTTCTCTAACACCAAGGAGAGCTTTCTGGTATTGTCTCTACCCTGCCTACTTTTAACAAAGCCTGTCTGGTCGTCCCCTATGATAGTTGGAAGGATGTGTGCTAGTCTGTTGGCCAGTATTTTGGCATATATCTTTGCATCAGTGTTGAGGAGGGAGATGGGTCGGAAATTTTTGCAATTGTCCGTAGGCTTGTCAGGTTTCAGAAGTGTCACTACCGTGGCCACCAGCATTTCAGGAGGAAGGGAGCCTGTCTCCGTCGCTTTATGGTATACTTTGAGCAAGTGTGGGGTTAGTATGTCAATGAATGTCTTATAGTAGGTATTGGGGAGTCTGCGCCTGGGGATTTTCCCGGGGGCAGGTTCTTAATTACCGCTCGGATCTCCTGTATAGTAATCGGTTCGAGCAGGGCTTTCGTGGAGTTTTGGTCCAACTTGGGGAGGTCTATATCACGTAGATAGTTGCATATAGCTTGTGTGTCTGGGGCAGTAGCGCCGCCACTTGAGTCTAGATTGTATAGTTGTTTATAGAAGTGTGCAAATTCCTGTACTATGTCCATGGGGTTCATGAGTTTGTCTCCCGTGTGCCCTATTATGTATGGAATTCTATTTGCGGCCTGCTTTGTCCTGAGCCTGTTGGCTAAGTATTTAGATGCTTTACCACTGTGGTGGTATGTGGTGGCTTTTAGTCTGTGCAAAAAGTACTTGTTTTTTTGGGCATTAAGGTTGTTAAGGTCTTGGTACAGGTCCCGTAATTTGTCTGCTAGGGCTGGCGTGGGTGTCTTTTTGTTTTGGGCCGTGGCTATCGCTATTTGCTTGTGGCAGTCCAGGAGGGTGGTTTGGTGGCGTCTTTTTATGTACGCGGATTGTTTGATGAACTGTCCCCTCATCACTGCTTTATGTGCGGACCACACCGTGTAGTCCGAGACTTCGCCCGTTGTGTTGGTGAGGAAGTACTCTCTGAGTTCTGTTGTCATACGCTCAACGAACGGTTTATCTAGGAGGAGAGACTCATTCAGTCTCCAAGTGCCCCTACCATGGGTTTGGTATTTGTCTTCCAAGTCAAGGTATACTGGGCTATGGTCAGACCATGTTATCTCTCCTAATTTGCAGTCGATCAGTTGTGGTAGGGTTTTGTTATCTATGAAGAATGTATCTATACGCGTGTAGGTGTTGTGGACCCTAGAATGGAAGGAATAATCCCGGTCAGTAGGGTGTAAGATTCTCCAACTGTCGTATAGGTTGTACAAGGCCAAGGTGTTGGTTATGCATGTGCAGAGGGCTTGGGTCCCTGTTTTGTGTTTTCCCCGCGGGGAGGCCGTAGTGTCAAGGGTCGGGGATTGAATGAAATTAAAGTCACCACCTAAGATGAGTCCCCCTTGTTTGTAGGTATCAAGTTTAGACAGGAGAGATTTGAGGTACAAGGCTTGGTTGTCATTCGGGAAGTACGTTGTCCCTATGGTGTATTGTGTGTTGTTGAAAAGCCCCACCACGATAATATACCTTCCCGTAGGGTCTATATGGCTGTTTTGTGGAGTGAAGACCACGTCTTTGTGCACTAAGATGGAAACCCCTTTCGTTTTTGATTCTTACAGGGCGTGAAACTGTATAGGGTATAGTTTTGAGAAGAGGGAGGGTGCAGTGGGACCCCTAAAGTGCGTTTCTTGGAGGCATGCTATATCTACTGAGTTCTTCTTAAGCTCGTGTAGAAGTAGTCTTCGTTTTTCAGGGGAGTTAAGCCCCCGTACATTATAGGATACTATTCTCATTCTGGTGTGGTTTCTCTAGGATTCGCTGGGGTTGGTACCCGTGTATGTAGGCTGTCGGATTGTCTCTTATAGTGGGGTGATTGGGATATGGACTTTCCTAGTGGTTCAGTGTGATTAGTTACTGTAAAAGGAAGTGGTATGGAGGCAAGAGGGGGATGAAGGAAGGTCAACCTGTGTCGTCTGTTTTCGGGCTGTTTCTTATCGGGGGGAGAAAAGGGGGTAGGCGAGGGCATAGCCCTGTTAGGCTCCTTTGGGTCGAGCCTTAGTGCAGCGCCCGGAGGTCGCTCGCACGCTAGTGGGGTCGTGATGTTGGGACACTCCCGTCAGGAGGGAGTCACTCGATCCAGCACACACCGGGGCACTATGGGTGCAGGTGCAATTAGCCGTTGTTGCCTGTTTTTTTTTGTTTGTTTGGTTTTTTTTGTTTTTTTTTAGTACATGTTACGGGGCCCCAACTCCCTAACCTATTGTAATTGGGCAGTGTCGAAATCTAGCCGAGAGTATGTCTCTTTAGCTACTGTAGTAGTTGGTGCGTGGGGAAGTCAGGGGGCCTCAGTAGTCCCTTTTGCAAGCTTTGGGTGTGTGGCAGTAGTATAACAAAACATAAAATGTAAAACAGCATAATAACTATTGCAACAAAATAGTTCATAGCTTGGGTGAGCGTCTTACGTATACCGCATGGGTATGGAGGCTCTTTATCTGGATGCCCAGTCTTGAGTCAGCCGAGGAACTTTCGCCGGGCCCGCTTTCGCCATCTCTGCCAGCGGGATACCCCAGTCTTCCAGCAGCCGTATACCTTGTGGTGCCGACGTGATGGAGTGGAGGGAATCTTGGTGGTACACTAGCAGCTTGGCAGGGTAACCCCATCTGTAACTCAGTCCCTGTGTGCGTAGCGACAGCGTAATTTGCGCCACAGATTTGAGGAACTGCAGTGTTTCTGCTGACAGGTCAGAGAAAATTTTGATGTTGTGGTACTTCTCAGGCATCCCTTTGTTTCTGTTTGCCCTGATTATCCGTTCCTTGGCGTGGAAGAAATGCACTCTCGCTATGACGTCTCTCGCTGCGGTGGTAGGTAAGTGGCTAGGTCTCCGAAGACGGTGCGCTCTGTCTAGTAGTAGTTGATCTGGATGCAGTTCAGGGGTCAGCTGCTGGAACATATCTTGTAAATAGTTGTCTAGGTCAGCATTTGTTACCGATTCCGGTATTCCCCTAAATCTGAGGTTGTTCCTCCTAGACCTATCTTCCAGGTCTGCCAGCTTGAGTTTTTGGGCTGTGATAGTGTCTTCTAGTTCTTACATTTTGTCAGCCACACTGTTATGGGCCACTGAGAAGTCGTCCATTTTGGTTTCCAGGTGTGCGGTACGGGTCCCTATGTCCTGCAGATCCTTTCTGAGCTCAGCTGTCAGTGTGAGCATTTGAGCTCTGAGGCTCCTCTGCACTGAGTCCGTTAGTTCCGTCATCATGCTCCTCATGGTGGCCACCGTGAGGGGCTGGTCGTCTGCACTCATTCCAGGGGAGGGTGGGGAAGCGGGTGAGCCCTCCCGCGATCGCGGCGGGCCGCCATCTTGTTCCTGGGTTTCCCGCGTTTTCATCTGTGCGGCTTTTGTTAAGAAAAAGGACGCTTTATCCGCTTTCGCGGGTTTGCTTTTTTGACTCTGGGACATGGTGGGTACTTGCGGTTGTGCTTGCGGTGGGGATTGCTCGTTAGACCGGTTTTTTATTGCCCCGTGCGGCTCGATCGGCGGGAGCTACTCCGACATGCGGCCGTGCAGCTCGAGCGCCAAACCACGCCCCCCAACAAAGGAAATTTTAAAGAATCATTTAACTTTTTATTTTGAGAATCAGTCTAGTCATTTGACTTTTACTATTCCCTTTAACCATGGTTGGTGGTGACATTTTGTTTTGATTGTTTCCCCTTCAACAAAAAGAGTTAAATCCAAGAAATGTATGTGATTTCTGTTCCATTCAGAGTGACTTTCAAATTGAAATCATTTTTATTTAGATATTGGCCAAAATCTCCAAAAGAGCTATCCGAATCCCTCCAAATAATAATTACATCATCTATATATCTCCGCTATAGGACCAAGTTCTCCCTCCAGCCATGCACGGACCAGATGAAAAGGTCCTCCCACCATCTCATATAGATGTTGACATAGCTGGGGGCAAACTTTGTTCCCATGGCATTCCTCGTGATCTGTAAATAAAATTTTCCATCAAAGAAAAAATAGTTGTGCTTCAAAATAAATAAATTGCCCTGAAAATAAATTCTTTAAGAGGTGGTTGCATCGATGAATCCTGATTAATATAACTCGTGGACTATTGGGCCCCCTGAAGGAAAAAGTAATTTTGTGTGAATTTTTGGTAAAAAGTAAAATATAGGTAAAACCGGTGTTGTTGAATAAAAATGAATAGCCCTTTTTGGAGAACCTGGTGTCCCTTAAAGCGGCACTGTTATGGCCGAATCCCGTTTTTTTTTTAACCCCCCCTCCCGACTCCACTACATCTAACTGACCCTCTAATCTCCCCAAATGCCTCTAAGCCATCCATAATACCTATTTTTTAATCTTTATTTTGTGTTCAGGGTGCCGCCATCTTTGTGTGGTTAGATGAAGTCCCTGTGGGACACATCATCTGCCCACACTAGATAGCGCTGTGAGATTCCTGCATATGCCCAGTTAAACACTTGGGCATGCGAACGGGAATTTCCAAGATGACTAGGGGTCCCCAAGCCCCTAGTCACCCCCCCCCACCCAAATAAAAAAGAATCCCCATAAAAAAAAGTGAGGGGGGAATAAAATAACTAATTACTTGTAAAAAAAAAATGAAACCATTTGATGTCTTGTTTTTTCTAAAATCTTCAATTTTCAGCCCCAAAAAATGCCAAATAAAAACCATAATACCAGTCAAACTTGTAAAAAAAAAAAAAAACCTGAGCGCCAAAAAAAATCTGACGAAAAAGAAAAAACCCGACACTAAAAATAATAATCAATCCATCTTCACCCGGCGAGGGCACGGCGTAGAATGAGCTCGCCCTGCAATTCGGCTCAGAACACTCTGATTGGATGGCTTGAAATCCATCCAATCAGAGTGCTCTGTGTCATTTTACACAGCGTGGGAAAATTCCAAAGGACTTTACCACGCTGTGTAAAATGACTAGCATTCTGATTGGTTGAATTTTATTTTTCTAGGTTCCCACCATCCTTAATTACCAACCTGTTTTTGACGTATTTATTTATTTATTTATTATTGCCATTTATATAGCGCAACAGATTCCGTAGCGCTTTACAATATTATGAGAGGGGATTTAACCATAAATAGGACAATTACAAATAAACTTACAGGAACAATAGGTTGAAGAGGACCCTGCTCAATTGAGCTTACAGTCTATAGGAGGTGGGGTGTAAAACACATTAGGACAGGAATTTGCAATCAAATAAGGTGGGCTGCCCTTTAGGAGAGGGCAAGAGATGGGTATGAGAGGTAGGGGTTAGTCTTGGAGGCCATAAGCTTTCCTAAAGATATGGGTTTTAAGGCACTTCTTAAAAGATGCAAGACTAGGGGAGAGTCTGATGGCGGGAGGCAGGCTATTCCATAGGAAGGGAGCCGCCCACGAGAAGTCCTGCAAGCGCGAGTTGGCCGTACGGGTGCGGACAACGGACAGGAGGTGGTCACAGGCAGAGCGGAGAGACCGAGAAGGGACATACCTGCGGATCTGTGAGGAGATATAAGAGGGGCTAGAGTTGTTCAGTGCTTTATAGGTGTGAGTTAGTGCCTTGAATTGACTCCTATAGCACACAGGAAGCCAATGTAAGGACTGGCAGAGGGGTGAGGTGTGAGAGAACCGACTAGAGAGGAAAATCAGTCTAGCAGCAGCGTTCATTACAGACTGTAGGGGTGCAGTACGGCTTTTGGGAAGACCAAGCAGGAGAGGGTTACAATAATCCATGCGTGAAATTATTAGAGCATGGACAAGCTCCTTGGTAGTATCTGGTGCAAGAAAGGGGCTATGTTTTAATTCTTAACCACAACGCAGGTACATTATCTCAACTAGCACTTGCATCATCCTGGACATAATCCCATTGTGTCTTTAGGTTCCTCTCTATGATATTCCTTTCTCAAGCTCAACCTCACTAATTGGGCAAGGTACATATGTTCCAACATAGTTTCTATCAATCCATTACGTTTCTATTCCCCTACATTCCTTAGAGATAGATCTCTATCTGGCTGC